GGGATGCTGCGAGGTCCCCTATTATAAAAGACGAGAACAGAGACTGCTTCTTCTTTCATCAGCTGCAGAACGAGGTGCGACGACAGCTGCAGCAGCAGCAGCCGCACCAGCAGCTCGGTCAACGGCAGCTGCAGAAGCAGCTGCTGCAGCTTGAGCAGCTGCAGTTGCAGCTGCAGCAGCAGCAGCTTTTCCTGCACCCAGCAACTCGGGCTCTTTCACAAAGCAGCAGCAGCAGCAGCAGCATCAGCAGCAGCAGCAGCAGCAGCAGCAGCAACGAGAGTCGTCTTTCTTTAACCCTCAAGCATGCATGGGGGGACTGTACGTACACCGTAGACGGCTTTGCTGCTGCTGCTGTTCCCAGCAGCGCAGCAGCAAACCAGGTGCTGCTGCATTTGTCTCCTCCGCTGCTGCCTTGGCTTCAGAAGAGACTAGCAGCACTCAGCAGCAGCAGCAGCAGCAGCAGCAACAGCAGCAACTGGTTGCTGGGGGCATCCTGCTCTCTCCCTGCTGCAGCAGCAGCTTTACTTGATTCTCTCTCTGCACCTACATGCAGCTGCTCGTTTGCTTTGTGTCTTCCTGCTGCTGCGCTGCAGCAGCAGCTGCTGCAGCGGCGTCTCGGGCTGCCGCAGCACGCGCTGCTGCAGCACCGATGGTTTCCGGTGTCTGTACACCGCGAAGCAGTCGAAGCAGCAGCAGCACAGCTGCTGCTGAACCATGGCCACCCGGCTCCCTCCAGTGCTGCTGCTGCTGTTGCAGCTGTTGCTGCGTTTGTTGCTGCAGCAGCAGCAGCAGCAAGGTCTCAGAGCACCGCTATTACGTCTGCTGCTGCTTCTCCCATCCAAGCAGCATCAACTGCCGAAGAACCAGTGGTTCTAGCAGCTGCAGCAGCAGCAGCAGCAGCAGCAGCAAGGGAGCAGCAAGAAGAAGCAGCAGAAGCAGCAGCAAGAGAGCAGCAAGAAGCAGCAGCAGCAGNNGCAGCAAGGGAGCAGCAAGAAGAAGCAGCAGAAGCAGCAGCAAGAGAGCAGCAAGAAGCAGCAGCAGCAGAGAGGAAGCAGCAGATCCGTTCAGCCCTGCGGTCACGGGTGTTGTGTATTGCTGCCCTGGAGAAGCTGCGTAAACGCAGCAGCAGAAGATGCCGGATGGCAGCAGGAGCTGCTGCTGCTGCTGCTGCTGCTGCTGATGCTGCTGCTGCTGCTGCTGCTGCTGCTGAAGGAGGAGTCAATGAAGCTCCGGCAGCCGAAGCGCTGCAGCAGCAGGTCAAGGTGCAGCAGCAGCTGCAGCAGGTGCCAGAAGGGCTGCTCGAAGAAGGGCATACTCT